AGCGCGCGTGATCCAATCAATCAGCCAATCATGTTTAGAGAGCTTGAACTTGACATTGAGGTTGATGTGGACACTTTCACGGTAGTAGAGTATAGTTTATTGAGTTTTTTGGTTATCGAAACTTTTTCGCCTTTGCTTTTGTTTTTGATTCAAGACTTTTCGAAGACTTTACTTAGAACCATGAAAATGTTCTTAATTTTATAAGTTTAATACTTCTTTCTTTAAATTGTTTGGAGTCTAGCCTCTTCATCGGTAAAAGAGGGTCTCGATGGGATTAACCAGATATCTGCTGAATTATCGAAAAATAACCGTTTCTCGTTTTCTTTTGGAGGGACCGATGGAAACTTCATAGAGGAATACAGCACCACCCCGTTGAGAAGATGTACATGTTTATTGATAAATTATCGGTGTTTAGATAGTTTCCTGTAAATCACCCGACTTAAACAAAAAAATTAGAATTTAGCCAAACACACAAGTTACCTAGTGCAGAAGCTTTCACATATAAGGCATCGGATTAAAGGTCACGTTTGGCCATTTCAGAGACTGTTCACTTTGGATTTTGGTGAATAAGGAAATATTAAGACCCAAATCAAGTTTCAAGTGAGTAACTGTAGGAGGCTTTGAGGAAGTCACCTCGCTTCAGTCTTTGAGTAATGCTTGGCTCTTACGTCAAACTAACATGATTTTTGACATTGTTTTGTTGCGGGAATCTGCCGCGGATCCAGAAGAGTAGATTAAATTAAATTCTATAAGATCTCCGGACAGTAAACTGAAAGGTTTTTCATCTTTTCATGTATCCTTCTTTGCAGTATTTCTCAGTCAGATCCTCGACCATAGTTCGTAGTTTTTTTTAACGGATGTTGTTGTTGTTGTTGTTTTTTTTTTCAGCTAAAAATATGGGTGGAAATAAAGAAAGCGACAAGAAACAAAGCACGTTACCAAAAGAGCTCCAGAAAAAGTTCATGACGACAGACAGTGCTGTTTTACAAATAAAGAAACTCAATTCCAGAGAACATTACACTGATCTTGACAGTATTAATTTTACCTGGCTCAAAGACTACTTCGCTTCCTCTTAAGTCAACTTTGTTTCTGTTGTCATCAAATGTAATATATGTACGTGAAATATATGAACGAATTATTTGATAAAGAAAAATGAAAAGGAAAGAAGTGATACAGCATTATTTCCGGAAATTAATCACCTCCGCGAGCCTACCTCTTCGTTGGGCAGAGCCTACCTCCTAAGAATGCCCCAGAGATGAAGGGAAGATATGAGGTCTGTGGGCAAGAACTGAAACTCAAGGACTATATCAGACTCACAAGAAACTCAGGACGAATTTTGGACGACCGGGCATTTTGTATTCACGTAACCGTGCGAAAGTTTCGTTCTGTTCAGATGGAACTAATAACAGGATGAATTTTGCGACATTTTTGAGTGTTTTACCGTCTCCTCATGTGCAGAACGCTTCTTAACCCAGAGAAAAATGGCGTCCAGTGTTTTTGCTGCTTCGACGTCTTCGATTTACGAATAGATTTGCAAAGTTTTTTGCCTTGATTATCTGACATTATCAAGACACCAACACAAGGTCGCCTACATGCGTGGTAAGTTCGGTATGGCCTGCACATTTGCTAGACAAGATTATGTAATAAAGCTGTAATATCACTGAGCACCGCAATCAATAAACCAACACGTTCCATCTTCGTATACCATTGTAAACATGTCATTTAGCCTAATTACCACACATCCATGCAGTCACGCCTTCGCTATACACAAATTTCTACGTCTAAGGTGTTCATAACGTGGCGGTCAAATTATTGACTGCACCGGCTAAAAGTTCGTCTTCGATTTTGGTGTTCAAAGTTTTGAACGCCTGGGCGTCCAAATTTTCGTAAGTTTGGCGTGGTTCCATGTGAACGAAACGCCCAAACGCACGAATTTTCCACCGGTCGAAAATTTGTCCGGTATCGTGTGAACGTTGCCTCAGATTATTATAAGATCATATGGAGACAACTTGGAAATGTCGAGAAGAGTTTCAGTTAAAAAGAGAAACAGTTTGAAAGTTTAAAAAGAGTTTCCTCCTAAATTTCGTTAAATAACCCTTGTCCTGTTAAAAAAAAAAAGATCGTAACGTTTTAAGCAGCACCGCCATTTTTATTGTTAAGTTGATGGAGTCTGCTGATAGTGCTGCATGGAGATAATCACGTGACTTATTATCCCCTCACAAGATATTGCTGCGCTTTTCTGTCCTTTCCCCTCGGTATCAGCGAACATTTTTCATTCAATTAATTTGTTGTTTTTTCCTCTTTCACATTATCACGTTCCCAAACAACAGCGTAGGTGTAGCTCAATCTTTCTGCATATAAACCTCGTGTAATCCTAAATTTTCCTTTATCCCCTCGAAATATAATTTTACAAAATTTTCACCTGGTCATATAAAGTGGAAATTATAAGTAAAACAAATTAATTGGCTTCATTGAGTACATGTTTATTTCTTCAGTACTTCTATACATGTTTATTTCGAATGTCAGGGTCAATAAGACTTGGTAGACCAAATTTTGCCATTAAAATTTTCTTTAAATTCAATCACGATTGCTTTTTTTTATTCAAACCTTTATGAGGTTGGTTGGGATGTAAAAGCATGCGGGTGGGGAGACAAGTCTATGGCTGTGAAAATCGTCAACACTGCGTGAAATAAATATTGACGCGTCTCTTTCCAAAGCATATGACATCAATTTTAAGTTTAGTCGACCTACGATTATTTTGAATATTAGTATTTATGCACCTGCGTAAACAAGTTCCTTCCTGATTCTTAGCAATTTCTTGATTTGCGTCTGGCTTAATGAAATGATATTGAAAGTTTTCTTGGAGGGAGTTGAAGGAGGTCGATTTAATATCTCTGAGTCTTCTAGTCCTTCAAGGTTTTTTACCCATTTAATCAATGGCTCAAAACTCAACGGCGACGCTTATGCGTTTATCGAATGGGAGGTGTCCATATAGCCAGTCTATTTATTTATTGCTCATGTTAACTGATACGAGAAGAGTGGTGTAATATTAACTCTTTAACTCCCAAGATCTCATTAGTAATTCTCCTTACTGTCCGCCATACAATTCTTATGTTGTCAATTTGGAGAATTTGGTATTGGATCAATTAATAATCTCCTAATTGATATTTCATTTTATTCTCATCACTACTATGCTTGATATTGTGTTGATATTGTAAGGAGAAATTCTCTCTTGGTCACTAATGGGAGGTAAAGGGTTAAGATTCCTTCACTAGTATGATCGGAGGAGCTGTAAAGTAGGTATAGCACTACACTAGTCTGTTCAATGTTATCTAAGTCTACTGAATGTCATTTGAGGCGTTAAGAGGGAATTTATGTGGA